AAGCAGGCACACAATGGGGAATACAAATCCAAAGGAATGCGCTAGCACCAGCTGTTTGCCTAGCATGCTCAAGGCAAGCTCCTTAGGAGGCAAACAAAAAGGTGTGAAACTTATTAGGGTCTTGTCAATTTTAGGTAGCAACTGGGAGCCAGCTAGAGGATTCTAATCACACAGCTGAGCTTGTTAACTTGTGGTTAGCACTTTTTAGCAGCTGAGGAGAAGGGCAGCTCAGAAAGAGATAGCTTGTTTAGGCAATCTCTCCACTCTGTGAGAGGGTGGGGGAAGAAAAAAATGGGTCACGCACAGGACAATGCTACTGACTGACTGTAATGCCAAAACACATGACTGAGAGGCTGCAAAGGTGGTTAAATGCAGGCATTGGTCTCGAAGTTACTTTTCCATCACTGTCGTAACAGCTAATGGTTACTGACCGAGGCAGTTGCTAAACTAAGACTACCTGTAAAGCTCATTTGCAATTGAGATTGCTTTTGAAGTTGTATTAAATTGTGATTTGTCTTATAACAAATGCTTAAAACTTCTCTAGGATAATATTTGGAGAGCCTAAAAATTCATCTGCATTGTTTCACGTATGTATAAAAGCCATTTTCAAGGAAGCTCACTATACATTTACCTTTCACTTCACTCCAGAGCAGAACTTGGACATTCTGAGGAATGAAAATATAAATGCCTCTTTCTGTCCATGTCATTATACAGTGCTCACTGCAAGGAAACAGAATGCTTGTAAAGAAAATGTAAGTGGCCAAAATATTTTATATTTGTTTTTCACCAATACTATTCTTCATTTTTGAATACTCAAAATGGGAATGTCACCACTGCATGATGAGAAGCATTCACTTCCTTAGAAATAGGTGGTGGGAAAAAGACCTTTCCTCTCAAACAGAGCACACTGGTTTATCCAAGAGCATAGGATTTGTTCTCATCTGCCCTCTAACTTGCAAATCCCCCACTGAACTCAAATAATTATTTCCAAATAAACATGCATAGATGATAATAGTGTAATGTGAGAAACCACTGTTTAGGTTTGCAGCACAGAAACAGTGCACTGTGCTCATGTCATACTTGTTGTTAGGGCAAGAAATGTTTTTATCACAAATAAAGGAGCAGAACTGTGATTCATAAAAATTGACAGAAATTGGTCCTATGACAATGCAATTCTAAGTCGGTATTATGTGGCACTTACAACAGTAGATTAATCCAAGACTACATTAAATCCCAATTCTGATAAGAAAACACTGTGACTTTTAACCAATTGCTATCCCAATTCACACATCTTGCAAATTCATAATGTGATTTATTTGGATTTTGGCTGTGTACAGAGACTTATTTATTGTGTTTTGTAAACCATGATTAAATAGCTTGCATGTTGTACAAACCCAGCCAATTTCCCTTTATTCAATAAATATTGTTAGGCAAACCATGGCTTAATGCAATATGTGAAGTCACTATCTCTTAATGTCACAGAGTTGCTTTGAAGATAAAACAGAACAAGAAGCAATGTAAGCTAATCTGAACATCTTTGGATATAAATGACATATAACACAATTCTTAAATATGTAAAAGAGATAAATATAAATTTAAGAATTCTCAATTTGTAGAAATAGATAATATGTTGCTTTACATCTACCTTAAATAAAGCAGCCTGGGAAATGCCAAGGACTGAGGAGAGCACGCAGAAATGTTATACTCTGGATCCTCCCTTTAAAAGGAAACATTTATGTTTATTAGGACTTAGTTCTACTAATTGCATCAGGTTTATTTCATGCTTCAGAATTAATTTGTTAAATCACAACAATGTGCTGAATATTTAGTACTGCTTATAATTCTGAACAGCTTTATTTTATAATCTTCTCTTGAACCTACTCATTTATTTTTTTTCCTCCAACCTTTATTGATTCTTTAGAATGTTCCCAAACACCTAAATGTATTTTTCTAATTAAACTTATCTATAACAATAGATAGAATATTTTGTGCAACTGTTACCCATATAGGTATTGTAAGTGAAACTTTATAGACAGTTTCAGACAAATATCTGAAAGCTTGGTGCGACTTCAACCAACATAAATCTACTTCTTGCAATATTTCTACAGCTGGATATTGTCAGGATTTTCTACATAATCATTTTTACAAAAAGATACGTGTATCATTAAAAATGGCTCAAACTGTGTATCTCTGCCTGCCTGTATCACTTTTCCTAAATGATTCTGTGAACATATACCACAAAGGAGGAGTCGGAGTCTGATAGTACCTTTCAGACACCACATTTTATTGAAAGGTGTAAGCTTTTGTAAGCTACAGCTCATTTCACCAGATGGTTAATGTGAGCAATACTCACAAAAGTTTAAGCTCTTTAATAAAATGTGCTAGTCTGGAAAGATGTTATAAGCAGTTGCGTTATCATTGTTGTGCATCTCTCCCTATGCTAAGTAGCACTGAAATTTTAGAAGCATTTCAACTGGCATCAATTTAAAGGCATCTTTACATAATCTTCATGATCTTGTACATATATCATCACAATGACTACATCAAGATCACAGACAGAATTTGGCACTGATGACTTCTTGGATTTTCTTTCAACTCTTCACTATAGCCTATACATGGAACTCTGATGGAATCCTTTCCAAGTACTAACCAGGCCTGATCCTCCCTAGATTTCAAGCCTAGACATCTCATGATTGCATTAGAACCAATACCTGATAGTAATAACAGGGAGAGGTGGTGATGACAACAGCTGTTTGAATTGATGTGTACTTAGCACTTCCCCTTCAAAGTTCACCTCCCACATCCGTGAACCAGGCCTTGCACAATATATCAGTGACTGTTGGTTTGCACAACTCTTTCCAACTGGAAAAAAACAAGCTCCATATTCACCATCTCTTTCCTTATTTCCAATCTTCCAGAACTTTTCCCTATTTAACCAGAAATAGTGAGACTTTAGAAGAAAATTTACTGAACAACACTATAAAAAACCAAAGGTTTAAGGGCCTTCACATCTCCACTAAAATGTATATATGTGTATATATAATAGGCAAAGTTTGTACCTCACTTATAAAATATAAGGAATTAGATCCAACTTCAGAAAAATGGAAGTCCTTTAGGTCAATAGGGCTTTCCTGTCTCCTTCCCCAACCTTTACTTTTCTATATTATCAAAAGCCACTCCTGAAAATTGAAGAACTTGCAGGAACAATGTATGACAAAGCACAGGAGGCTGACATGATGTAATCAGGAGAACTTGGCTGTGCTACCTTGTTTGATAAATCAATTCAAACCATTTTTAATTGCACAACATTCCATTTTGAACATTTCTGAAAGTGCTTCAACAGCAAATCACTTCCAAAATGCTAAAACAGCCCAGTTTGCACTCAGAGGTTCTGCACTTGACATAGGAAATTTTGTAAGTTTTGTGCTTGAAACAGTTCAGATTGAAAAGGTTGACAAACTCCTACAAACTACAGTTTTTACTTGTGCAATACCTGCAAGATACAAAGCTTTTTGTTTAATAACACTATCCTTTTTTGATAATGTTATTTTGTCATCATAGTTACCATGAAATGTTTGCGCTCAAATTAGCATAGGCAACAGAAGAATTGGAACTAAAATTGGATCAGCATTTATTCAAAGTAATGTAAAGGAATAAGAATGATCTTCAAAAGGGTGATGGATATTAAAATCAGCTCTTGGGTATATGCAATTATGTTTGGCAATAGTACTTTGTAAGGGGTAAAATGATGTGAAATTTCTTTAATCAATTAAAATTATGTGGGAAAAATAGTTACAGTGAAACCTCAATTTAACAGATACCCATTAGTGGACTTTGGATACAACAAACAAAATATTCATCTAGACACCCCTCTGAAATAATAGATGTGTCCACTGCAGCTGAGATAGTCCAGATGAGGAACTTAAAAAATAACCCCCCTCAAATCATTATATTTACCTATTAGCATTCACACAAATGATATAAAGTGGCACAAGTGAAATATGTTTATATTTAATGGGCATTCAGGAGGAAAGAATACCCCCTTTACCCAAGCAGCATATTAAATTACATGACCCTTAATGTCACTGCATTTGAGACAAAGGGTATAAGTGTTTCTCAACCTTGGCAACTTTAACCAGTGTGGACTTCAACTCCCAGAATTCCCAAGCCAGCATGGCATCTTCCTTTCTGTTCCCTTCTGGGTTTATTCTTGCCATCATTGTTCCTTTGTCTTGTGTTGTCTTATTCTTTGTATTGTTTTTTGTTTTTAAATGTTTTAACAATTGTAAACCACCCAGAGTCACTGGGAGTTGGGCAGCATATAAAATTAATAAATAATTATTATTATTCATGTGATCTGCCGCGGACGCTGCTTCTGGGATAGCACCAGGGCAGTAGGGAGGTAAGGCTTGGCCAGCGGAGATGAGCTAGGAGACTGGAGAAAGGGTAGGATGAGGTAACCAAGGAGAAGGGCTGGATCTGACCACCCAAACTGAGGGTCTGGGCAACATGTGAGAAAGACAGCAAGCAAGCAACATCTCTTTGTGGAGGGAGGGAGAGAGAATTCTGCCAGGCAAAGAGAGAGAAAAGAAAGGAATAACTGAAGGAAAGAAAGATATCTGCTCAGCAAGGAGAAAAAAAAACAAAAGCTGCCTTATGTCATGTGTTCTAGTTAATGAAAAATGCTGCCAACTAAGTAGCCACTGTAAAATATCTGTTTTGCAGCTCTGTTTTGCAATTTAAAAAAGTATTTAATTCATGTTTAACGGCAGATTATGATATTCCTTACTTACAACTCACTTGAAACTATTATCTCATTGTATGCAAGGCTTCCATGTTGTAGCCTTCAGGCTAATTAACTAGTCCCCGTGAAGCACTCATGACAATTTGAGTTTGAGACTCTTGATCTAACAGATATAATTTAATGTTATCTTCAGATGTGTGACAAAAATATTTGCCCTTATTTCTAAGTGCAAGGTATTATTTTCAAAGGTGCCTTGCAGATTACCTGCATTGGATCAAATTTTCACACAGACAATACTTTATATTTTAATTACCTCTCTGTGTCACATAAGTAAGAGCGAGTAAGAGAAGAAATAAGCAACCTGCCATCCAGATAATCAAGCTGAACCACACGAGAATCAACCGTGGTTATAATATGAATGGGAAACATCACAAATGCAGTAGTGACCTATAGAAAAAAATGGAAAGTGCACTCATTTTTTTCATGCCTGACAGAACTCCATTCATAGAGGAGTTTCAAAATTAAATTACTTAAATTGTTCAAGAAAACAAAAGCAAAAGAAACCAACTTACATTACATATATTTCATCTTTGTAAGGCTGCACATCATTAATATCTAAGGATCAGCAGAAGCGTTTTTCTAAATATTAATATGCACTGGAGGAAAAAAAGCACAGAGTGCATGGCAGCTTCTTTAACTGTGCTTCTTCTTTCAACTGAAATCTACATCATAGTTTAGATATTATCTCCTTACACAATGTAGAAAAAAATGGAATTCTCCATAAGAGTGCCAAGATACCCAAAATGCATGTTCTGTGTGCAGTAGTTGTTTTTTTTTTTTTAATCTAAACTGCTGAATTTGGGCCCAATACGTTTGAACCCAAAAGTCTACCAGAAACCAGTGTTTCCCTTTATATAGCAACTCACAAATTGACCTCCTATGCTTACCATGAAAATATTCTATTTCACCCTGGCAATCATCATCAGACCTAGACCTCTCCCTGACTTTGAAACTGAGAAGAATAGAGGGAAAATCCTTCAATCTTTGGAGGACCTCCTTCAAAAATATACCCATTAACCTCCCAAGGTTGGGGCTTGTGCTATCTTAGAGTTGAAAAAGAAGCCAATATTTTGGAGATCAGAAATCTTAACTTTTAAGACTTGCCAATATTTGTAGGCTTGGCTCTTATGTTCAAAATTCTGTAAGGACATACCTTTCCTTGTCTGGAGGAATTAATCTTGATCACAGACACTTTCCCCACATGATCACCAACAAAAACACGGAGTGCATTAGTATCCCAACAAAGAGCTGTTACTTTTCTGCCTTTGTGCTCAGAGGAGACATAAATCCTCTCTGGTTTCCCACGACGCTCTTGATTCAATTCCCATACAACAACAAGGCCTTGACTGTGAAAATAAGGTTTACTATTTTTAAGCCACAATTCATTCAATATATTCCAGCAAGATGAATAGCAAATATGTCATTGGACATTAAACGATACAACTGAGGCATAATGTTAATTATAAAATGAAGCAATTTCAAATCCTTCAGCTGCCAGCTAATGGTTAGCCCTTACAAACAAATAAAAAAAAAGTTGTATGCCTCTTAACAATTCCCCTCCAATGGATCCCACTGCACAAACAGAATGTTGTTCACAGACAGAACACTCTGGAGCCTATCTAATATATTCAATAAAGTTCAAAATCTTCTTGTGAACATTATGCATGAAAAAGGGCCAGAGTGAACATGCTGAAGTATCATGAGTTATTTCTAAGCAGCACTTATCTCCCACTTATTCTGAAGGACAAATAATATTAGCCTTGTTCAGACAAATCATAGTTTGGCACCTTAAGTATTTCATCCTCCTTTTCCCCCTTATTTATATAAAAGGGGAAGAGAACATAATTTTCCATTTATGATATTCTGCAAGTCAGACCTGACCACAGCATTCAAAACATAGCCCACTGCTTCTGGATACCAAGACAAGCTGATAGTGTATGTATTTATTCTTCATCCCATGCACACAAACGAGAGGAGGACAGCAGAGCATCTGAAGCTCTAAATATATTATAAACTAAAATGGCTATTAGTTAAATGGATGAGCAAATGGAAAAAAGACTGTATATCTCCAAGTTCAACATTTGTTTCACTTTCATTTTTCTCAACACATATATGTACTGTACATCTTGCCTGCATCATTGAAATACTCCTTCCGTTGCTGAAATGTGATGATGGAACAGTACATAACTCATTTAGTTAACATGTCCTCACCTGGTAGCTACAGCAACATAATCCTCATCATGTAAACAAAAGGCAACACAGGAAATGGCACCTTCCTACCAAGAGATAAAATGATCAGACTTATCCTAGTAGCACATTGTTTCCACAATGCCTTACTCCCACGTCCTATACATTTTTTAAATTATCCACTCCAACCATATTAGTCGATTAAATTACTTATTTTTACTCTAAGGATTGTTCACATTTTAAATGGATTTTCTCAACCTCTTAACACTCAGACTTGAGTGTTACAGTGGGGCAAAAAAGTATTTAGTCAGCCACCAATTGTGCAAGTTCTCCCACT